CATTTTACGTAGTTCTGTGAAGTTTTGTTGAAATCGGTTGAAAAATGTAGGAAACCCGATCCAATATATAAACGTAGAAACACACACACAACCTGGGTTTTATAATAAGTAAGATTAAACGGATGGTACATTGCTTTAAGGCTTATCAACATATTGTGGGTCATTTAAAGCCGAAACATATATTTTGGTGTGTAGGAATAATATTTTTTTGCGAGGGAATATTGCATTAAGAATTCCTTTGAGATAACGATTTTCCAGATATAATTCATACTATTTAATTCATAGCTGGGGAGAAGATATGAATTCTTACCTTTCCTAAGGCTAATTGCGCGTAAGTAAATACAACGGATTCGACTTGTGTTCGAACTCGGCTCTCCGGTTTCTCTTACTGAGCTGCTATAACCACGATAGGGAGATGCTCATTAATCAAATGGAAGTTTTATTATCATTGAACTCAGGACTTTTTTTTTTACATTTGAAAGCAGTGAAGTAATTTGGATTTAGAGATGTTTTTTTCGTTAAATACAGCTTTAAAATTATAGGGGCGAAACCAAAAAATAAATAATAAAATCTACGACAGGACAGTTCAAAAAGAGGAAGGAATTCAAAGAATATGGGATTTTGGAAGTGGAGGTAGCTTACCATGGACTCTGAAAACCATGGAGACTTAAAATAGAACTATAAAATTATAATTGATACAACAGCGCGTTTGAATTATATTTGTTCAGAATTATTCGCTTATAAAAATAACGGAAGGACGAAAGAAAACAAAAAATAAAACAACGACAACCAATATATTCCAGTTTCTATTAAAGTTGTCGGAATTGGTTATTTGCTGGATACATACGCTTTTGTGCATGACGATTTTTTTTTTTATAAAAAAACATCAATATACCTTGATGAGGTCATGTGTAGACGTTAGCATATCAATTTGAAATTTGCTAATAATAGTAGCAATCAATGCCATATAAAACCGAAATGCAGTGTATGCTTCCATTTTGACGTTATTGTTACTACTTTTAAATTGTCTGATGGATTATGTTTGTGTATAGGATGCGTAAATATATATTTGGTTTTCGTTTATCTGATAGCATGTTCGTAAAGAAAAATAAAACCGATGAGGAAGTCATTGAGATCTTGCAGACAATGTTAGCAAAAAAAAAAAAAGAAAGAAAAATCCTGTCTCTTATGGCAATAAAATAGCTGAAAGGACTGTAGAAATGAAGCCTACTATGAGAAATAGACCTCAGGAGTCTGCTATCGGGAAGAAGAGAAAAAAGTCGTGTGAATAATCATTGCGCTATTTTGCTGAACAACATATCTGTATTGAAGTCGTTTGGCTGCAAAATAACCGGTCCACCGATCGCCATAAAAAATGGCTAGATAATTTCGTAGTTAGTTTTCCGATTTAAATCTGTATGCGTTTATTTTTTCCTGTTCTCTTTTGTATTAAAACCATGAAATCTAGTTTAAATATGTAGATCGCCATTTTTTGTGGGGTTGAGTGAAGGCTTCCGTTATTTCTTTTTCTTAACTTCTGGACATTGACTTTTCTTTCTATGCTCTTTATGAGCACTAAATCTTCTCAAACTTTTGTTCAATTTTTTTTCTACTTCTACTTCCGTTACGACTTTTTTTACGCTCTTTCTTTATTTTCTCCTTTTCCTTTTCTACTTTTCGAATTCCCTTGCTCTAGTTGCCATTATATATATTTTTTTTATTACGATCTCTGTCCCATCATATAAGTTATATTCAGTGTATGAAGTGTCTAAGTAAATGGAGCAAATATTATGGGATCGAGGTAAAATTCTTTTTTTTTAATCTTTTCTTTCATATAATTGCTTTCGTCCCATTTCTTGTTTATCTCCCTTTATTTTGGCTTTTCTTTTCTCACTTATCGTTCTGTTGCTTTTCGTGCCATCATTTTTCCAACACTTTCTCTCCGCTGTTAGCCTTTCTGGTCCTTCGTACTTCATTTTTGTCTCATATTTTTTACTTGATACTGTTCGTTTTTGAAGCGTCTCCTGTCGCTTCTAAGGTGTATTTTCAGCTTTGTTAGAAACAATAATTTTATTATTGCGAACAATCATTCCCTTTTGTCTGCTCCAATAATACACAAAAACACACACACATATGTATATAAATATAATGTATACATACGTATATATATTCAAACATAAAAGAGATAACGATATATATTTTTATATATCAATAATGGCTTTGAGGAAAAATGTATATACATAAATATATACACACATATATATATATGCGTACATACATAAATATATAAATATTCATATGCGTACACACATAAATATACATATATGCATATATATATATATACATAATATATATATACATATATATATACATACATAAATATTATATATACATATATATATACATACATAAATATTATATATACATATATATATATACATACATACATAAATATTATATATATATATATTATATATAAATATATATTATATATACGCTTATATATTATATATATCGGTATATATATTATATATTCATATATATCCATATATATACATTATATTTACATATATACGCATTATATATACATATATATACATTAATGTACATTATATATACATATATACATACATGTATATATATATATATATATATATATATATATATATATACACATGTATACATACATTTATATATATATATATATACATACATACATACATTATATATACTTCATATATATTATATATATATATATATGCATATAAATGTATACATTATTGCGATGAAACATTAGATACATACATTATATATACATTATATTTACTTTTTATATATATTTTATATATACATATATACATATAGATATATAGATATATATATATATTTACTCATATACATACATATAGTTATTTTTAATTTATTTTGTTACGTATGTATACATACGTAAATACATATATATTCATTCATAAAACATATATATATATATATATATATATATATATATATATATATATATACACACACACATATCTCTCTCTCTCTCTATATATATTTTTTTTTTCTCTCTCTCTCTCTCCAAGTAGAGGCCAGTGATAAGCTAATGCACAGCCAATAACTAGCGTGGATGTCTTTTCCCTCCCAGGTTTGCGTGATTAGATATTGCAAGCCCCCCCACCCCCGCCCAACGAATTCTCACCAGTATTGAAAATAATAATAAAAAAGGAAACAAATAAATCATGTATCTCGAACCAAAATTGCGATAAAAACAAAATTGACATTAAAAAAATATATTCAAAAGAAAACGACTGCAAAAGACTCGTAACACAGGAAAAAAGTAAAACGAAAAAATTGAAAAAGCAAAACCGAAGATAAAGAAAATGAAAAAGTAGGGAGGGGAAAAAAAAGAAGAAAGAAAAAACTTATAAAATGCTTCATTGGTCGGTTTTCCGTCCCTCAACTACTCTCACCTCCTCTACATCTCTATCCAACTTTCGAATCTTTTGCTAAGTCTTTCCCGGCATGCCCTACCCTGTTTAGGGCAAATCACATTTATCCGTAAAATGTCGCAACCGTCACAAATGTCTACGGGGTAAAAAGGGTTCAATGTACTGGGGAGAGGAAAAAATAAAAAATAATGAAAATTTGAAAATAGCAGAAGTCAAAAAAAAAAAAAAAAATGAAGAGTCCAAATTTGTTTCCGACATTATTCGTCCGACGGTATCTGGTGCCACAAAAATCAACAAAATAAAGAATAAAACAATAGGAAGAGAAAATCTTTTTAACAGCAAAAACGACAAAAAATATATAAGTAAACTAGATGTATGAACAAAGGAAAGACTTATACAAAGAATAAAAATAGGCTAGAAAGACAAAAGGATAAAACAAAACCAAATCAAAGAAAAAATCCCTAAAGGTTCCATTTTTTTTTCTTTTTATATTTTCCTTTTACTTGTTTCTTGCGCAAAAATTCATTTTATTCATGCAGTGACCAGTCGAATTGGGAAAGAAACGAAAAAAAGTACTCTATACAAAAAGGAACAGAAAAGAAGAAAAAAAATCACATTCCCAAATGCATTCGTAAGGACAATTTTTGCATTTACTGCCAAATATGATCGTATGCGACTTTCCTACCTCCTGTCTCCAGCCATGATGGTTTTGCACATTGCATCCGGTCGGTTTTGTTGCTAACCGGAAATAGTATTCCAACACGGAACGTGAATCCTCTGTGCGTAATGGGTAGGACATTAATACAACTATTTATTAGTGATAGAAAAAGGCATGTGAAGAAAAAAACAAGAAATAATAATAATAATAATAATAATAATAATAATAATAAGAAGAAGAAGAAGAAGAAGAATTCGACTGGGATAAAAAGCAAAAAAAACAAAAAAAAACAAACAAAAACGTGAAATATAAGTTTAAAAAAAACAATGGAAAAGCGATGAAAGAAAGATATGCAGAAATATAGAACGAGGAAAGAAATGGCTGAAAGAGAGAGATAGATAGAGAGAGAGACAGAGCGGAGAGAGAGAAAGAGGTGGGTAGAGAGGAAGTAGGGGGAACATTAACAGAAAGACGGAGTTGTGATGTCTTGATATTTGGACAGTAACGGAAGTTCATTTCATTCGCCCTAAAACTTCCGCAAATTTTACAGGATTTCAATTTCGAAATAAGTTGTCTCAGTTACGCGTTCCATTCCAAGATAGTTTTCTTTTAAACACCATTTACTTGTTAAGGTGAGTCAGTCAGAGAAAGTTAATATTATTCTGTTCTCGCTTCGCATCTATCTATCTATCTATCTATCTATCTATCTATCTATCTATCTATCTATCTATCTATCTATCTATTAGATGACGATGAAGAAATCACAGTTAGTCTATCATTTCCACAAGAACTGTAAATCATCATCAGAAACATCTTAAAGGACACCAGAGAAAGATGATGAAGAATAAAGATGGCGAATCGAGGTACAATGGAGACAAAGATCATTTAAAAACATGGTACAATTAACATCTATCTATCTATCTATCTATCTATCTATCTATCTATCTATCTATCTATCTATCTCAGTCTATTCTTACTCATTTCAGTCAATTAATACCATATCTATCTATCTATCTATCTATCTATCTATCTATCTATCTATCTATCTATCTCAGTCTATTCTTACTCATTTCAGTCAATTAATACCATACCTATCTATCTATCTATCTATCTATCTATCTATCTATCTATCTATCTATCTATCTATCTATTTCCGTTCTACGTAGAACCCTGGTTAGCTAGCCGATTCCTAGTTCTAGCTAGAACCATGGTTACATAACTGATTCCTAAGCTAATCCCAATGATTTTAATGCTTACTAGAGGGTTCCTCCGAGACTTGCGAAGATAGGTGTCGCTAGAACCTCAAATATTTGTTTAAAAGTCATGATTTTGAATGCACGAATGACACAGCTTTTTTATTTAGCGTGTTTCATTCTTTTTACTACAAATGTTCACCGCCTTTTCTTACCCTATTTTACTATTTTATTACTTTTTACCATTATTTTTTTCTATTCTTTACTTTTTTCTTCTTTGTTCTTTGTCATTTTTTACTCTCGTCTGCTTCTTCTTTCTTCCTTTTTAACTTCCAGATTTTTCTCATTCTTCGTTCATTTGACATATTTTTTCTTTTCCTCCTCGTTATTACTTTTCTTTTTTTGTGATTCTTTAGTTTTTCATGTTTGCCTTTCTCTTCTTTGTCTATTTCTATTTTCCTTTTTGTTTTATTCCTTGTCATTACACCGTTTCTTTCTTTCCTTTTTCTATTTTCTCTTTCTTCTCTTTCATTCTTTTCTTTTCTTTTCTTTTCAATATTGCATGTTCCCGTTTTACCTTTAACTTTCCTCTATTTCTCTTCTATCTTTCTTTCTTTCTTTCTTTCCTTCTTTCTTTCTTTCTTTCTTTCTTTCTTTCTTTCTTTCTTTCTTTCTTTTTCAATGGTCTTCTTCTTTTTTGCTTTTCATTATTCCGTTTCTTTCCCCTGTCTTCTTTTGTATTTCCTTTTATTTTTCCTTGAACCTTTTTCTTTTTTTCTTTTTCTGTTTTTCTTTTTCTTTCTTTTCTTTCTGCATTTTTTTACTTTTTTTGTTCCCCCACCAATTTATTCACCACCCCCTTTTCAAATCCCCCTCTCTCTTCTTATTTCATCTCTTTCATCTGATTACGTTATGAACATTATTTAGTATCAGGCTACGCTAACATTCACACACACACACACACACACACACACACACACACACACACACACACACACACACACACACACATCTACACTTACAACAAACATATGCACGCTTCTTTGTGTGAGTATGTGTGAACTCGTATAAAAGCCCAACGCTGATATCTTGTCCAGATAGAAACGGATCTCAATATATCTGAAATTCCATACAATTCTCCGTAATTTCACATCAAACAACTTCCCTTTTCTCCTTCCATACAGACAAGCGTTTCCTTTGGGAAGCAAATAAACGTATTTTATAGTTTATTTTCACACTATGAATGTGTAATTAGGTGACATGCATTTTCCCGCGCATTAACGTGCCACAAGTAAATAAATAAGTGCAGGGTAGATAAGGTGCGCGTCCAGATAAACCTCGTCGGCTATTTCCGTATGATTGATTTTATAAAACCATCACTGACTCTTAACTCGAAAGAGAATGAGCTTTTAAATTGAAATGTCCCCACAATCCCCACACAAAGAAACGAAAAAAAAAAAAAAGAAAAAAAAACGGAAAAGAAAAAGCAGAAACTAGTTGAATAGGAATCTAAACTGATAGATTGGGAAGATGAGAAATGTATAGCTATGTGAACAGCAGTTCTAATTTAAATAAAAGAAGCTATTTCATTCCATTGGTTTTTGTGGGGAAGTAAATGCTTATTGAAACAACGGGAGACAATAGAAGAATAGTGTTTTGTATCTATTTAATGTGGATAGTTGATTCACATCGTCTGTGTCCCGATCAATCCCTTAAACAGGGATAGAAATGACTCCGATAACGATATCTAGAGATAGGCATTTGCTAAGCGTAGCTTAGTTGTGACACATGGCCGAAAGTATAGGTTACCCAGTGTGGATCGATCTCACTACTCAGTGGTAAGTGATCTAGCCAGACCATATTTTTAACCATTACACAACATCGACATGCCCAACAAAAGGATTTTCTAAACATAGCTTAAATGTAGCACAAGGTTGACTGGGTGAAAGAGAATAGAATTCGTGTGAGAATAGAACTCCCGCCATTACATTTTAAATTTTAATTGATCTCGAGAAACAACATTATTTACATTATTCGGACTATTGTCCTTATCTTTGTCGCCATATTTATTACAACGTTTCGGCCGTTGTACGCTCCAGCCTTCTTCAGAATGTCGAACTGAACCCTTTATTTCACTCACTGAGGTAGACTGTTCTAGTTCTACGTGCCATGTTTAATGGATGTCAGTTATCAGTTATCTCCGGTTAATTTCTCTCTGAAAGTTCTCCACTGCCTTAACTGGGTATTGAACTCACACTCTTTGAGTCCTGTCACTGGATCTAGCTAACGCCTTTATCCACTGTGACATGTATCCTTGGAGATGTGATTATTTCTTCTTTCTTTCTTTTTATGTGCCATGTCTTTTCAAGACGTAGGTGATCATGGCTCTCTACCTTCCTCTATCCCTTGCAGGTCTCAACAAGTTCCTTCCCTCTGCTTTCTTCCCCAGACCACGCTCTGTCATCCACTTGTTTAAGCCCGCCAACTATGTCACGAGTTGTTTTCTCTTGCCTCTCTCTCTTTCTATTCAACCCGTGAGTATCAGATTTTTACAGGCCCTCCTTCGTAATTATGCATCCCAGAAACTTCAGCTGCCTCTTTCTGATATTAAGTATAAGCCTCCTCCTTGTTTGCAACCTCTCTAAGACCTCATTATTGCTCATACGCTTGGTCCATGATATCCTTAGCATCCTTCTGTAGAACTATATCTCTGTCGTCTCGAGTCTCTTCTTCATCTTTGAGGAAATCATCCAACATTCGCAGCCGTAAAGAAGGATAGATATCACATTTAGGGTAGTTAATTCGTGGAAGGACTTAGTAAATTTCGAAATTTTGAGACTGATCAGGTAAGAAATGAGTGAAAGTAATTGCAATGGCAGTGGTAATATTAGCCGTTTTCTTATATGGAAACATTTGTCATTCATTTACCAAGTATCCAGTTCTATTGTCGGTTTTAATTCATACAATCTTCCTGTTAAAAGAATTTTTCAATAAAATACGTTTCTGAAATCAACTGTTATTGCTCTTTACTGTACTGATAAAGTTTTCCTTTCTAAATTTTTATTTGAACTAGTGTGGAACATCAGCATATTGATTATGTTCTTATTTTCTTTTAGAGTAATATGTGATATACTTTTTAGTTGTTGCTCTTGTCGAAAGTTTTCAGTTGATGTGGTTTCTGATATTTGGTACTGTTATGGGACTTTACCCATAATAACATAATGGACTCTTCCATACGTAATAAATACTGCGTCTCAAGAGGAAGCAGGGAGTTCAGCCCGAAGTCGGGCGACCGGCAGATCGGCTGATCGGTTGAACTCTCTGCCTTCGGACAGGGAGGAACCCGAACGAGGCTACGCCGAAGGGCGCAGTCTCTTTCGGGGAGGTAAACCGACCCTGAACCCGTTTATACGGATTCAAAGGGCATATCTTTGGCCGAGCCAACGGGCTCGGAGGTCCCACGTTAAACCGGCCTTGATGCCCTTGTGGGGAGGTGACTAAATACTGTTTAGTCTGAAGTCTGGAGTGAAGTCCGTCAGGAGTCTGTCAGTCAGTCAGTCAGTGGAGTCAGAGGCAGTCCGAAACAGAGTCTCGTTCAGACAATTACTACTAAACCTGATTGTTTGTACTAACACTTTCTACTTCTCTGTATATATTCCTGTTTGTAATGTATCTGTGTAATTCCATATACGTGTTCGAGTTCTTCTTTATTGGTTCTACCTTGGACTATCACCGTGGTACAAGGAACCGGACCATAACAGGTACAGATCTTTGTGATTCTACAACGCCAGTCGACGAGTTTTTCAAGGCCTGCACGCTTCATTCATTCGAAACTATTTTAATCGTTCACCTGAGAAATCGTTTGTATACATTTGACAGTTTAAATATTTTTGAACGTGTTTGGTTCCGTGTCTGACATCCATATTTCAATCTGACTAGGCTGTTTAAAAACATGACGAGTAAATTTCAACTTTTTAGGTTAATGCCTTTGTTTTGTAGCAACGTGATGTATTGAGAAAAACTATTCCTGGTACTGCTTATTCTATGTTCAATTTCTATACAACCCGTATTACATTTGTTACATTTGTTATAAGTGATCGATACACTGCGGTATTTGAAGTCTATAGCTTTTATTAATTCCACAATCTGAATTATTGCGATTGATACAGCGTTGGTGCCGTCACTGCTTTCATTTCAACTCCAAATCATAGAAGGATTTGATATTATCTATCTATCTATCTATCTATCTATCTATCTATCTATCTATCTATCTATACCGGGTGTAACGGCAAAATTGTACAAATCGTATTAGAGTATAATTGTCCATACCACAAAATGTTTAATATCTAAAAAAGCTACAAAACTAATTGACTTTCTTTTTTCCAGGATTTCAGATAAGATCATCAGCCATCTTGATACCATTTATCGTAAGAATCACTGAAAAATCCTTTAAGTTATTCAGCTAGAAAGAGAACTGATTAAAATCGTTTTGTATCAGCCCCAGTGTCTTCTCACCTGAGAAATGGTGAGAGAAAAAAATCATTCAGACCTTCAGTAATGGTACTAACATTAATACTCTGGCTTTTATCGTCAAAGTCTATTCAAGAACCATCAAGAGAATGGTGAATAAATTTTAAAAAAGTAGAAAGGAAAACTGGATCAGAAGGTCACAATAGGAAGAGGGATCATCATTTCGACTTAGAGCTAAAGAGATCAATTAGAAAAGATCCCACTCAATCTATAAGACGTTTGATGTGTGAAAGAGGAGTTTCAGTTGTGACAGTCCAAAGAGCAGTGAAAAAAGATTTCGAAATAAAATCGTACGTGAAACGTGTAAGGCACCTTGTTACTCCAGGACAGAATGTTGAAGGTTAGAGAGGGCGAAGATCATTTTGAATGATTTGGAAAATATCCTGGAAAAACACACACACACACACACACACACACACACACACACACACACACACACACACACACACATATGTATATATATATATATATATATATATATATATATATATATATATATATATATATATATATATGAAATTTATTTCAATCCTTCATGAGCTTCCGATCCTTAGCCATGCTTAATTAATGATGAATATGTAATTTTCGTTTATGATATATTCCATCACGATTCGTCTATTAAGCTTGGAGAGTAATTTTTACATAATTATTGCTCAAAGTAAAAGCCCAATAGTGTTATAAAATCCTAGAGGAGTTCCAGTAAGATATCTTTAATCATTTCTAAATTACAACGGTTTAAATCTTAATCTAACAATTTGCTGTTACACGACTGGAACAATTATGCTGTTACAGCCGTATATATATATATATATATATATATATATATATATATATATATATATATATATATATATATATATAATTTAATTTAATTTAAAATTATTCGCTGTGACGTAACATTGAGCACTCTGGATTTCATCATACTTGAGATTATCCATACGGATTACCAAGGTTTTTCGTTATATATATATATATATATATATATATATATATCAGAATATATATATATATATATATATATATATATATATATATATATCAGAATATATATATATATATATATATATATATATATATATATATATATACGTATCAGAATGTATATATATATATATATATATATATATATATATGAATATATAATATATATAATATATATATATATATATATATATATATATATATATATATATATATATATATATATATATATACGTATGTTTTTCTTTGAAATTGTTAAATTTCTTATTTGATTAGATTTGAAATATTATATTTCTCTAAATACATTATTTATACCACATAAAATAGATTCTCCCCAAGCGTAATTCCTTAATCTTTATTCTCAGTTGACGAGTAAAACATTTTCTCTTGTGGTTATTTGCAAATGGAAAAATCGCCTTTTTCAAAATGATTCCTTTGTTGCTTAGACAAGATGACCAGAAATCATGCGATATTTTCCCCTGCCATCACAATGGAATCTTTTCCGAACTGAATGTAATTCTACATCTAGATATGAATATTTTATAGCAAGAATTAGGCATGGATTGATGGCTTGTATCAGGGGCTGAAATAGCTACCGATTTCCTTTCGGTGTCAGTGGTGGATATTCAATTCGAAATAAAAAAAAGAAAAATCCAGGATTTTAAATGCTTTTTTTTAAGACAGAAAGACGACAGTTGACTTCCTAGACTTAGATCTGGGCTGTGTTAAGCATGCCTATCTTGTGTGTGTGTCTATTTCGAAGCCCATTATGAAACTGTTGGGTATCACATTTTATTGTTTTGGACTCGCCCGTGAAGGTGAGAGGGCCGTCGAGAGTAAGGGACTATAACTTTTAGAGAGGGACAGGTCCAAGCAGTGGGGGGTGAAGGAAAAGGGTCAGAATTCTGGACTCGATAGCCGCTCGAAGATATGCATTTGTGGTCAATTGACCGTCAGCGATTGCCACATCTAATAAATCATTTGATATAAGAGAAAATGATGTGTTTGTTTATCATTTCACTCAAAACAATGTCACTAAAATGCAAGGGATTACTGGAAGTGTTAGAGAATCAGAAAACTTTAACGAGAAAAAAGGACTATAAAAGAACAAAGTTCAGCAAGGTAGAAGATGGCGATTGACGTTGCTTTTAAGTAGGTGACAGAGAATGAAGAAATCAAAAGCGAATTCCATAGACGAGAATTAAGAGGGAGGAAACTAATAGAATAGAACTTACGGTTACATTTAGCTATTTCAACAGAAAAAGACAATGGGAGCTAGTTTTTAATCACATAGTATACAGGTCAAAATTCCTTGCTAAAAGAATTTCGTATAATGGACAAACGAAGATAATTCCAATATTGCTTATGTTATATCTTTATTTCTTTTTAAATTATCTCTGTAGAGAATGTCTTAAGTGTTCAGAATAACATAGTGAAATATTTTTTAAATAAGAAATTTAAAAAATTAGAAAAGCTAAGTTCGAATATCAGTCGAGTTCGTAACATTCACTTTGTACAAATAAACATGTGAAAAGTATGACTCCATATCATATCTCCCTAGGTATGGGTTAAATAGTTAGGCAATCTGAGCTCTTCAGACTTAGTTGACAACAGGTATAGGAGAAAGAAATGTCTAAATTCCGAAACTCGGATAGGTGGAACTCGCTACGGTACGAACACGTAGTCGTCTAAGGGAAGGAAAATCCTACTAAAAAAAAAATAATAACCTTTCCTCAGAGTACAGAGCTAGGGTGTGGTAGTAATAACCCCCCCCCTGAAACAATTATGCCACGAAGCCCCAAATATATAGCACTAATAAATTAAGACAGAAGAAAAGAAAAGAACAGTAACAGCATTTTGACTGGGTACTTCCAAAAAATGTCAATAAGGAAGATATTCTTCCCCTTATATCAAAGCTTTCAGAATGAGAATTGTGTTGAGCTCAAATTGAAAATCTATCAAATATAAAAAAATTAAATAAGAACTTCTTCACTATTGAAAACATAAAGAATATTAATAACAACACCAGCAATAATAATAATAATAATAGAATTAAACCAACACCTCTACATATATACCTTTAAATTTCCAGATACACACGATTTTTTTCCTCAGTCATAGAATTTACCCCAACATTAACAATGTACATCTAACCAACAGTCAAAACACGTATCGACATTACCTATTCCCGCAGGAGCAAATTAAAGCCTTCCCGTCTTCTTTCCTCTACCGTGTTTACGAATTAAGCACACTTACATTATTAGATATAAAAATGTCTACTAGAAAGACCAAAAGGCAAACACCTTCCTATTCACGTGATCAACGCCCAGATTACCTAGACGGAGCAAGAATCGATTCACAACGTCAACTTCTAACAAAGGACAGCCCGAGTCGTTAATCGAGTTTCATGCTCTCTTTCTAGTCGTCAGAAGATTTCGAGAGCTTGAAAGTCGAGGTTTATCACTTTAAACGTTATTTTTAGTGGATACTCATATTTAAGTAGACGTTGCTTTTATTTCTTAAATGAATAAATTATGCGCGGTGAGATTCAAACTTACATATCCCTGAGCAGATCGTTAGATCCAACGTGCTTCAACCGACTGATCTACGAAGAACTCTTGCCGATCAAGCAAAGGTGAATAGTGTCTTTAAGCGAAATTCTTCTCATCATGGACTATCAGAATTTTCGTATCTGCTCAGTTTCGGGTCCAAATCTGAACAAAGCAATTGCTAAAGTAATGGAATTTTTTTAAATTTATTAATCCGACAGATTAAATATATGATAAAAATAGAGATTTAAGATATAATATAATTATGTATTAAAATGATAGAGCATATGTAAATATAAAAGTGGACATTAAGGTCAACACCCAGCGGCTATAGTGTGTTTCATGCTTAATCCATTCCGTGTTGACCTCAGTGTTCATATATAATAATAATAATAATAATAATAATAATAATAATTTATATATATATATAATAATGATAATGCAAAACTCATCGGCAAAGCGAATCGAGTCCTCTCGGTCACTATGTGTTTATCTAAAAATAAATACGCTTAAAATTCACCTTCTTCCCTGCCGTGCGCCAAAGTCTTAGGATTAAAATCTCCGACTGACGCCAATTCAGCCGGGCTTCGATCCTAGGTAGAGGCAACCGGACGTCTAGCCACACTGATGAGCTGTGATACAGCGAAACAGTCTGTATGTGGATGACAATATATATGCTCCTGAAAAGTTTATTTCGGTTGAGCTCTCTGGGGAAGAAAATGTCAGTTTGTAAACAGTAACTATTACGGTTGATAAAGCAAGACTCTTCGGTAAAGCGAATCGAGTCCTCTCGGTCACTGTGTCTATCTATCTATCTATCTATCTATCTATCTATATATATATATATATATATATATATATATATATATATATATCCAGGTATAAGATAAGAACAAATAGAGTATAATTACACTGTCAGTAGCCTTTAATTTTTAAAAAGAGCTCAGTACAGAATAGAGTTTTATATTATTTATAATAGAAGATTAAAACAAAAGCATGCTAAAAATCGCCACACAATAGCTTTTGAGTTTCGGCACTTTAAGGTTCCGTTATAATAATTTATTTCACCAGAGCTCTTTTAAGGGACGCTGGATCATCAGATAACACTTTCAAAAATGAAACGAAAGATGAAAAACTTTCATCTTTCGTTTCAGTTTTGAAGTGTTATCGATGATCCAGCGTGCCTTAAAAGGGCTCTGGTGAAATAAATTATTATAATG